TGAAATAATCCTTGTTGTGTCTTCACAGTAAATAAAAAAATAAAAAAATAAATAATGACATAACCAAAACTACTTAATGTTTCTTGAGTTCAAACAAATGACAGCCTCCCACTCTTGTCAGGTTAGCATGTCTGTACTGGGTCTTCTGGGTTCATCTGATTCCACTTGAAGTTGATTGCATCTCAGCAATCGTTTTTAGGAGGCACTCAATCACTGTGTGAAGCAAAATATTCTAAGGAAAAGTATACTTGAATTTGTAACAATTTTAGGCTGCTCAGTAAAAGAACCGTTGCCAACAAATCACACCCTAGCCGAAAGCAGAATATTTTACCTATTTAAAAACTGAAAAAAAAACACCATATATATATATATATATATATATATATATATATATATAAATAACGGTAGTTCCGATCCTTGATTCTGATTGATCAATAGCTGTGCTTTCTTCACGATAATACGCGGCTATGACCGTTTCACCCAACGGTTCTATTTATCACTGCGCCCTTAGCAACACCCTTAGCAGCCACACATAGGCTATCAACATAAACATAGAAAAAAAAAGGCAAAAATATTTAAAGTAAATTTAGATTTAGCCTACTAGATGGCATGACGATGGATCAGTGGTTTGTGGAACAATTTGGAGAGGCTTCTACAAATTTGAAACATCATGCTGAAGTGCTGAAATGTAACATTGACACATTCGAGAAGACTCGTAATGAAAAAAATACCATGCAGCAAACAGTGAAATGCTTCGGTGACTGGTGTAGTGAAAAGGGTTGCAGCATAGATTTTAAACAAATCACCAAGACGGAACTCAACGCACTTATCCGTGACTTCTACGGAACTGTCAGAAGCTCCAAAGGAGAAAAATATGGGATCAGTAGCTGAACAGATTCCTGAATGATTCACCTTTGAGTTTGTCCTGGTGTCTGATTATGAGAGACAGCGAATTCACCTCATCCATTAATGTTTTCATTGGAGTCGTAAAGACAATGAGAAGAGAGGGTCGTGATAAAACGGAGCATCACACACATATTTCTACCAAAGATTTTAGCACCATAAAAGTGTCCGATGCGCTCATACCAAGACACGCCTGTCACTACACCAGTCACCGAAGCATTTCACTGCCCAGTGGGTATTTTTTCATTATGAGTCTCCTCGAATGTATCAATGTTACATTTCAGCTCTGGAGAGCTGATCAGAGGATGATCACTGGAAAAACACCCTTGTGGCTCAAGGATGTGGCTCAAAATGCCACACTTATAATGTGCATGCTAGTGAACACATGCCAAAATCAGTGAACCACTGATTTAATCAGTGGTTCACTTAACCAATAATCAAGTGCAAACCATGGCAAATGGTAAAGAAGCCTCAACAACCAGTAACCAGCATCCTTGGGGAAGAATACATTTTCTGGAAAGATACATGTAAAAAATCCACCCCAGATAAAAAAAATAATAATAATAAAAAAAAATGAAACAGCATTAAACTGATAAATATTTCAGCACCACAGCAGCCAGGCATTGCCCCACAGGAATCACATGATGTCCAATCAGAGTTGAAGAACAATCCAGCCGTAGTCTGAAATGTCACGACGACAAAACCTCAACTATCAAAATGATTTCTTTCTTTGTTTAAAAATATATTACAATATAAAAATATATTAAAATCTCTCTCTCTCTCTCTCTCTCTCTCTCTCTCTCTCTCTCTCTCTCTCTCTCTCTCACACACACACACACACACACACAAACAATATAGAAACAAATTATGAATTGTTACAATTTAAAAACCATTTTACATCACCCTTTCCAAGAAGAAGAAGAAAAATAAAACACTGACTGCAAATTTTAAATCAATACTATTTTTTTATTTTATTTTACTGTGTCCATTTAAGCATAATTTGCATAGATATTTACTTCTGTCATCTGGATTGGCCATTTAATATGTACAAATGGTCATGACAGTATACAAATAAAAATTTGGAGTAGAAAGAATAAGAAGAGACTCCATATTTAGCAAGGTGTGTGATAAAGGGATAAAGAGCCCAGCATTTAGAAAGTCATTATCCTCAAATCGGTGAGGCAGTAATGGTGCTGTCAGAAAGAGAAGGCATGATGTACGTGCTGAGAGAAGCTAGACACCAGTGTTCCTCTCCACTCTGATAAAGTCTGCTGTGAGTTTCTTCAACAAGGCTGTCCTACTGAAAATGGCTCTGTACAACTGCGATTCAACATCTTTCCACCTGGAGAGCTAGTTCAAAAGTTTATTTTTATGGATTCTGTTTGATTTGAGCACATAAATGTACACACAATAAAAGTTTGGGATCTGTACAATTTGTAATGTTTTTAAAAGAAGCCTCTTATATAAAATATATTCTAAAATATATCTTGTGAAATATTTTTACAACTTAAACTGTTGTAAACTGTTTTCTATTCTTAATGTATTTTAAAATGTTATTTATTCCTGTGATGGATACAAAGCTGAATTTTCAGCATCATTACTACAGTCTTCAGTGTCACATGATCCTTCAGAAATCAGTATGATGATTTGCTGCTCAATAAATGCTTATTGTATTATCAATATTAAATCTGGTTATTGACTTTTTTTTTTTTTCAGGAATCTTTTATGGTGGCTGAAGAACTGAAGAAAACACATGCAAATAAAAAAACAAATTGAGAAAACATCTTCATCAGTTTTACCATAGACGTCATATACTGTAGATAGACACCCTATCGACCGCTACTGCCTATTGGCACGGGCGGGCCATGGTAAAGCTCGCAAGCTAGCCCGCTCATGGTCTACAGCTGCTGCACTACGTTGACAATGGATACAAAAATGTATCATTTTTTTGGCTTCAATATCTCAGAAAAGATTAATCTTTCCCGTAGCGTAAGCTAGCTTATGAAATACGAGAGAACCTCTCATAAGAGAGCTATATTGTATATAGGCCTAGCACCTTTAAAAGTAACTTTCACAAATGTTATTATGTTATAAAAAAATATATATCTGCAAATTAAATAGAAACATCCATAGAACACACACACAAGCAATACTAAAGTCAAATAAATTCATCTTAAGATAAAATGTTTTAAGTGTTAAAAATACCAAGATTTTGCCTCCCTAATGTCAGCTGGTAGAGTGTTCCACAATGTTGGAATGTCACCTATAGTGTGATTCCATGTTTTAGGAGCCAAGAGACCACTCTGAGAACTTTCAAGAGCACTAGAACAGCAGGACATTTGGGTGTTTAAAAATAAAAAAAAATAAAATAAAAAAAATATATATCATTAAACATATTCAAATTAATCTCATTGATTGAATGCAATTAAATCAATCTATCGATTAAATATTTATTTTTAATTATTTATTTATTCAAACTGTGAATTCAATATTCTATAAACCTAAAACCATTTGTAAACCGTTTGTACACTGTTACGTGCCCACTAAATGAATTTAAACAGGGACATCATAACATACAAAAGCCACAAATGTTCATTGGCAATATAAAGATAATTTATTGTCAGAGGTTCAAATACAGGTACGACAGAGAGCATGGTGGTAAAATAAAGATAAAGCAAAACAGAAAGAAAACCCTGCTCACTCCTAACTTCCGGATCAAAACACTTGCCTGCCTCCCGTTCGAAAATAAAGACAAGGTTCTCCGTGAGTCTTCCGGGTCCGCTGACTGCCGCTCTAACTAAACTTACACTAAATAAGTTGAAAACCCTTCACCAATACCACCAGCTCAAGAATAAAGTAAAAGACTAAGACATAGCACCCACACAGATTTCAGGCCAGGAACGTGCTTAATACATGATCTGTTGACACCGATCGTGTAACACACTCTATGACAAGGGAAAAACGGGCCGAGCACATGAGAGCCTTCGGAGCGACCCCCGCTCTGCCATGAGCAACGACTCCGAGGAGGGAAAAATGAGCATGGGCGACAGTCAGCACCTGACAGAGTGAGAGAGAGAGGAAGCGGATGTCTTTAAAGCTTTAAAGCAGTCGGCCCCGTCCACTCGCAACAGGTGAGACATCACGTGACCTAATGGGGAAAAGACAGAGAACAACCAAAACGAACAAAAGCAACACAGACACTGTTCCCAATAAGCTAAGCCACGTAACATACACCTTTAAAGTTATGTGAAAAAATGCTTAAATTTTAGACATACAATATGCACACAACACCATCTTGCCATCTCTTCCACAAATAAAGAAATATTGCATTCAACACACACAAACTGGAAATGGAAAAGTGTTAAATTCAAGACATTCACTCAACTCCAAAACCTGACTTGTGCACTGCTGAGACTTGAGAACACAAACTGCCTTTAGTTTTTAGCTATGGGCAAATTAAGGTTACTGAAGGCCAATGTGGGAGGTAAAAAAAAACAAAAAAAAAACATTTTTGTCTCAAAATAATCTCAGTTCCCTAAAAAGCAAAAACCTTTTCCGAGACAGCATCACTAACATATTTGAATCCCATTTAGAGAGTCAGAGAGTGCACATTCAAGCACACTGTCAATCATAATCCATTTCCAAGGTCTGTCATTCTTTACTACATCAGAATACAGCACCAGTCTCTTTTGTTACAAGGTAACAAAAGTTGCTGTCACCACAAATTGAAGCTTCATATACATTAGGATGTAAATGACAGTCATTTTGGTGACAGTCTGTCTTAGTAGGATGGTATGAGTCCATATCTACAGTAATAATTATTGTAAGTTTTCTGTTGGTGGTCTGTTTCTGTAGCCACCAGGTGGAGTGCCTCCTTATACGTAAATGCTACATCTACATCAAGTTGGGCCTGGACAGATGGGGCAGCCTGTCTGCGACTGCTTCTACGGCGCCAGGGTGGAGGCTGCTGCTGCGGCGCGGGAGCAAAGATTCTGTCCACGTCTCCCTTGAGCTCCTAGTGCACTTCCGGGAAGAAATGCACAGGGGTGGGTTGCTGAGAACCGGCGTGCGCCACTCCGTGATGTCAATTCATTCATTCGACACCCAGAGGAGGCAATGGCTCCGAGCCGTCGTTTGCGGAGATCTCTGAACCACCCATATGTAGCGATCGACATCTGGTTGTTGCAGGAAGCACTAAAGGAAATGACTGGTACAGTCTTGAAAACGGTTCAGCACATTCAGTTGACAACTCAAATAGCTGCGGAGCATGAGAGGAATAAGGGCTCCTAGGAGGTTGGTTCCCGAAGGAAGTGTGCTCACCGTGATGCTCAGGTTTCCCGTGTTACTGCCTGAAGGCAGAAGCACAGGGACTCCGCCCCTTTGCAGGAATGAGAGTCTCGACCGCAGCTCCGAAATGGTACTCGTTACACAATGTCTACGTGGCTCATCAATGAACGCTGCCTCAGCGTGTTCGAGGCCCAGACACACGAGGCAGCGAACGTAACCATCCCGTGACCCCTGGTAAATGACCACATCCAGAAACACACAGATAGAATATTATCTTGAAAAAGAACTATCGGTGTAAGCTCTTTTAGACACTGCTCTCCTTGGTGATGAAGGATGCAGGGGAATGGTCACCGCGAACACAAACAGGAACGTGCACCTGTTTGTGAGCTGTTCTCTCTCACTGGTCTTGCGCGCACCTTACCAGCTGTGAAAACAGCCATTTCCTGCTCAGTTTTTGAAACAGAAAAGAGAAGAGAGAAGAGAAGACCGCTCACTCTGCTGTGCTGTCATGCCTGCACCAAAGTGGAGAGATCCAGAAGAGGCTTGCAGATTCACTGTGTGTAGTCAGCATTCAAAGTGCTTGGCTCCGAAGCAAAAAGCTTAAGTGCAACTTGAATCAGCTGCTTGTTATGTACCAATGCTAACGAGGCTGTGCAGCTGATGCAAATGATTGCAGGCCAATGTCTATTGGCAGAGAATGTCTAATTGAAGAGAATTGGCACTGGCTGGTTACTTTCGGTTTCTGGACTGGCTGCAGTAACACGTCTCTGTCAATGTGGGGGCGCGCGCGGTCGAGTGCAGAATGAATGGGAGTCAATGGGGTTTCACCCCCAGAAATCCACTTTTCTCAGGATGTAATTTTTTGTCAAGTAATTTTAAAGTTGCATTCAAAGGGGAGGGCTAAGATAATACACTCAGCTGAAAATTGCATTTTTAAGTTCACTTATCTGTTCTAAAAATCCGTTCAAAACCAACAATGGCCTAACCTGTAAGAAATCAAATGGACATAAGCACTCGTTCATTCAACTTTTGGCCTATGATCTATATTGAACTTGCAGAATCAACATTAAAATCTATGTTGATTTAACGACAAGCAGGTGAACAAGACACATTTAGCTGTTTAGCCCCATAGACTCCCATTCATTCTGCACTCGCCTACGATCACCTCCAGTGGAATTCTAATGGAACTGCAACCAAGATGATACACAATGGGGCTAATAGAAAGTGCCAAGGTTCTCCGTTAGACGGGCTCTGCTATTGGCTTGTTTTAGTTTCACTCAAAAGAGATTGGCCTCTCTAGTGAGATTCCTATTTGGTCAGTCAAAACTTGGAGCAGGCATGGGGAAATGTTTTAGCGTTTAAAGTAAACTTTCTCTTTAATATTGTAGTGGAATAAGAGTGAAAGGAGATTCAAATAAAACACACTCAAGTAAAGTACAGATCCCGGAAAGGGATACTTCACTTCTGGAAAGATGAATGTGCATTTAAAATGGGTAATTTACGTAGAATAAATGTGAAATTATTTTTGAATGTGGAGCTTTCTAGACTGAGAAAGCAAGAAAATTTATTTTTTGCTTATATGGATGGAAGACAACAACTCCCAGAATACACTGCTTCGCTGCCCTACCAGTAACAGAGCACAGTACTTAAACAAGTCTAGGCTACTAGTGAGTCCCTGTGATGAGTCTGCTAAAATGAGATCACCCAAAATGTTTGGGATTCGGCTTTTGTGTTCTACAGTCGCCATTCATTATGTTTACTGTGGCGAGCAGGACGAGACTAGAGTGGGAGGATGGCGTGAGGCCGGTGGCGTGATTACCGATGAGTGAAAGCTGTGAAACACACTGTTCTCGTATCTCTCAAGGAGGAGCAGGAATTTTCTTAGGAATATTAAAACATGAATGCCAAACAAGTGATGTAAAGACTACATGAAGAGTTCAGATGCAAAAGCCTCTAAATGCCATTTGAAATTTTCTTCTTTAATGATGATTTTTATCAAACTTGTATATTTAAGTTCAGTAATTTCACTTAAATAACAATTAATAGGTAATTATCATTGCCATTTAAGTGAAATTACTGAACTTTAATATACAAGTTTAATAAAAATCATCATTAAAGAAGAAAATTTCAAATGGCATTTAGAGGCTTTTGCATCTGAACTCTTCACATTCAGATTCACCAATTGGAATGAATTCAGTTAGATTTAAACAAAGATGTGCAAGTAAACAATGAATAGAGACTGCAGAAAGCAAAAGCTGAATCCTGGACATTGACGGCTGAACATGTCTGGGAAAAAGTGGATGGTAACCCCTATTACTCAGCTTTCTCCACAAAACAAGAGCCTGCTAGCTTAGCTTCCACTTAAATAAATAAATAAATAAATATGGCTGACTGTTACGTCGTTAGGGACGTTTATACTGTTTTTCTTCGGGGTTTGTGTTTCTCTTTTGTCTCTCTTAATTTCACTTTCACAGGCTGTCGCTGATTGGCTGTAATACCTGTCAATCACTCGTAACAAGACAAGTGGGTTTGCCTGTGAGGCGGGATCGTCATCAGCACGATGCGTGACACCTGGAGAAGCCCTACTTAAGACGCACGCTAACAGCGGGAAGGTAGAGAGACTTTGGTTTTTGTGTGTGAATATGTGTACAGTCTGTGAGTGAGCTCGCACCCTCTATGGGCGGGTTGAAAACTTATGGAACAGCCCTTACTGACTATAGTCTTTAGCTTCTGGCCAAAAAAATCCTCAGATGATGCAAAATGGCAATTTGTGCGTCATCAGAGGATTTATTCCAGACCAAAAAAAAAAAAAATACATAAATCTCTCGTCTCAGGGGGATAGGAGGGTGGGAAGCATGGTAATTTGAAAAAACTACAGGTTTTCTAATACAAAGCTTAATGCCAAGTCTTAAAGTATCCCTTTAAGCAAAGTAACGAAGTATTTTTACTCCGTTACTTACCACCACTCTGAACCAGACAAAAATAAATTCTGCGGAAATCAGACATATAGTCATATTATGTTATGTAAATCACAGGAATTAACTAAAGTAGATAGGGTAATTAGCATTATACGAAAGAAAGCAGTTATAGCTTCTTACTGCTGTCATAAAAACCCGTCTCTCTAACTAGTCGATGTATGCTCTCTTTTCCTCTCTCCCCCTTCCCTCGATTTCCTTCATCTACCTCCAGGTCTGACTCTCACCTTAATTAGATTAAGACATATAGTACTTTCCCGATAATTCTCCCAAGACCTAAATGGAACATAAATGATTGAATCCCTATTATCTAAAGCAATTATGAATTGATACCTAGGGGAAGAGACTTCTGACATAAAACATTCAATATTCTCTTCTCCCCAGTGATCTCCTTTTTAAAATGTTTACATTCAATCATACTGCTCTGTTTTTGCCATCATTCAATTTAGCATTCTTGTCAAGGGAGTGTTGACTCAAAGAGGGGCTCATTTAGTAAAATTACACATTGACACTGACAATGCAAAGAAGAATCTAGTTTACCGGCACTTTTTCTTTGTTTAATATATCTGGTGGAACAAATAAGGGGTAAATGAAAGCTTTAAAAACAGATGCTATGTCATGGATATCAAAATGTATGTTGTTGTGCATTTCTGTTATGTTTGGTTGGCTGGTTGGCATATTGTTAAAGGGTTAATTGTTAATTCCAGCCCCGTAAGACCTTCGTTCATTTGAGAGCTGTCTCACTCCTCCATTCTAGTCCATGTGCTTCTTGAGGGATTGAAACTTGCCGGCCTCGAAAAGTTATTAAAGACATTGTTAACCCTTTCACGCGTACGATCACACCGGTGTGATCCGTCTTGGCTGGTCCCTGGAGCGTACGATCACACCGGTGTGATTAGAACGCTCAGTTTATCATGTCAGCAACTGCTAAATTCAAACTTGCTGGCGCTGAGAAGCGGCAATAATAATCCTTTCAATTATAATAAGACGACACGTTTTAATCATATCAGATACACATTGTGTAAGTAGCTTAACATTTGACCCTATTCTTCTCCCAGTTCACCAGCCACTTACTATCATGTATTTCGTGAGAAGTGGAGGAATTGACGTTGTAAATACAACAGATGCGATTTTCTGAACTGAAAAAGAAACTAAAATGGCGCCGCCCATTGCTCAACTAACGCGGTCGTTATAAAGATGTTTAAACAACAAAACCCATCCACTTGCACATATTTGACAATTGTAATATCAGTGTTTCATGCTATAGCTAATACATTTGTGAATATTTTTAATAAAAAAAGGAAAAATTACATAAAAGCATATCATCATTCATTCCGCGCTCTGTTGTGGTTGTGCTGTGTCACGTGACAAGCAATGACGCGTCACCATGGAAACATTAAAGTGGTAAGTTTTAAATAACAGTCGCCTTGAAAAACTTACACTGGGGGGTCAGTTCGAATATTTTAAACTTACGTGTGAAAGGGTTAAATTGTCCAAGTGAATACAGTGGCTCAATCTTAAGTTTATCAAACGACGAGAACACTTTTTGCGCGCAAAAAAACACACAAAAATAAAAAACACACTTCTCTTTGCGCCTCTAGTCAAACTAGTGTAAATGCGTATGATTTGTTGTGCGTCACACACATCACACACATGACCAGCGTCGGCCAATAGTGAGCCTACGTGTGACGTAGCTCTATGCTATTACACTACGTTAACTGACTAGAGGCGCAAAGAGAAGGAAGTGAATAGTTGAAATAAATTCGTTATTTTTGCACACAGAAAGTATTCTCGTCGCTTGATAAAGTTAAGATTGAGCCACTGTAGTCACTTGGACTATTTTAACGATGTCTTTGATAACTTTTTTAGGCCGGCAAGTTTCAATCCCTCAAGAAGCCTATGAACTAGTGTGGAGGAGTGATCCAGCTCACAGATTTCATCAAACATATCTTAATTCATGTTCCGAAGATGAACAAAAGTCTTACAGGGTTGGGACAACATAAGGGTGAGTAGTGACAGAATTTTAAATTTTGGGTGAACTAACCCTTTTAAAGTGTAGTTTTAAGAGGGAAGAAAAAGTACTGAATATATGTTTTAATCACGTAACACATTTGTGTGACATAAAATGTAATATATTAATATTAAAGTAATATATTATGTATTATTAATTTAATACCAGTTTCACAGTCTGGTTTCAATGTTTTTTTTTTTGTTTTTATTACTTAAATAATTAATCAGTCCATCTCACTCATAATATTAACTTATATTAAATTTCATTCTATGCGTCAAAGCCAAGCCACACTTTCTGACAGCAGATTTCCTCACAAAACTTTTTTTCCTCAAAAGTTGAATCACAATTCAACAAAACATAAAATATCAAGAATGCCTGATAAAGATTTTCTAACTGTCTGTTTGCTCAAACTTAATGGAAGGAACCTTTAGGAAGAGCACGCAGGAGAACCTGGCAGATGGAGAGTCAAGCCTTTCAATAATGGGGTCATCAAGCAGATCTCCAGAGTAGACCTGTCATGTCGCATACATTTAATAACAAATGGCAAGTGGGGTTATGGTCAAGTCTGAGTGACCCAGAACAGCCCTCCCTTTGAACACCACCTTTGAACTCAGGACAATATTGGCAAGCATAGCAGTATGTTGTTTTTCAAGGGAATGTAGTTACCAATCACAGACAAAAGCAGGCGAGCGGTCTTGGCTCTCCCTCTCTGGGGCTGGAGGTTGGACAGGTTGGAGGTAGGAAACAGATTTTTGATCCAGATGTCTCTGTGACCTTTTTGGCCACCTCCCCATCCAATATTATTGTGGGCCTTATTTGCCCCAACTGCTTATCAATCTCCAGAATTGTATGCTGCTTATTATGCTCCTTTTGGACATAATGCTGGCCATTGTCCATATTCAAATTTCATGCAGTTGTTGACCTAGATATAATGTTTGCCACCCTTGTCTTTTATGTATTGACTCTGGATGTGAATGTTACATAGGCTCACCCCACTGAGAGCATATTCTTAATATTCTCAATGCCAGTTGAAATCCATGGATTAGTATGACACATCTCCTATAATCCACCAAACATCCCATTTTCATATCTGAAAAAAAAAAAAAAGAAAATCAACATATGATCCCTTGTCTCAGACAGAACGAAAAGATGCACTGACCCTGTATGCCCATAAAGACAACACAAAGTTGTACATGAAAATCATATATTGTAATGAAATGTGTAGCTTTGTGTTTAAGACTGTTGTGTTTTAGGCTTTTGGGGATAAGAGTAGACATAATGCAAAATTAAAATGTCACAGCAGTTTTTTTTTCTTTTTTTTTTTAGGTGTATAAGGGGACAATATGTTAAGTTTCGGGTAATAAAGGAGTAATAAGCAGATATACAAGCTGCAAACGACTCCGTAAGTAAACCGAAATTTTGGTGTACGCTTCTGTAAGTGTACTTCCGTGTAGGTATAAGGGAACAATATGTTTTCGGTAATAAAGGGGTACAACCAGATATACATAATGCAATTATTTTAAAACTAACAGGTACCTATTTTCTGTTAACATAGTCCAGGCAAAAATTGTACGTCTGTTATATAGAAACGTTTTTTTATCACATTTCTGGCAAAATATGTTCTTGTGTAGTTACAGGGTAATTTTGACATCTGTGGGTTGTATATGTTGATAATGGTAATGCTAGGTTTGTCTGTTTCAGCATACCTGGTTTAAAGGAGGGAGGGGGGGGGGGGTGTTGACTGCGATCACTTTTTTTATTTTCACTTTTTTTATTTTAAATAGTGTGTAATGTTGCTGTTGGTGCATGAACAGTATCTGCAAAGTTGCAGCGCTGAAAGTTTAGTGTAAGCAGAGATATCGTCTTTAAAAAATCCAGCTTCCAGAATCTCTACGAATTCAATGCCAGATTCAACAAGAAACTGTTAATAAAACATGAAGCAGTTCCAACTTTAAAACCAGATGCCGTTATTGGGCCTCAACCTGTAAGTAGGCTAAGACTTAATCATTTTAAATGTATTTGCATGTATAATTCCAGACGTAGCATTGTGTTTTAGTTTTATCAAATGCCAGCACTGGCTTTATAGCCACTAGGGTACTCGTTATGCTATTTTGTGTCTGCAACAAATTAGAGGCCTGCATTTCAGCCCGAGCCCGACGGGCCCCGACTTATTCACACTCCTCGGGCCAGGCTTCAAGCCAATTTTAACGTCATAGTTCACACGCGGGCCGGGCCTCGGGCCTGTTTAAGGCTTATCTTTTTTATAGCCTATTTTCGATATTACTTAAAATAAAATATGAGAAGATGACTATTTAAAAGCAAACATAGAAAGACGTTTTATAACCTATCATACTGACATATAGGCTATGACTGACAGTCTGCTCACGGCACGCGCACACAGGTTTCCCGGCAACGCGATCCGCGCGACCGGCTCGTTCTCTGTTAAGTGTCCCGCCAGCAGCAGAAGTAGTGAGCGTGACTTCAGCGCAGCTGGAAAAAGTACGACTGGATTAAAACTTTCCACGGTGGATGGTGCTTTTTCTGCACGATGCTCTGTAAGAGACTGTTTAGGAGGTTGTTTTTTGTTTGATTGGACCATAGTTTCATGAGTCTGTTGGAAACTTTTGGAAATAAGAATGGCCATGTTCTGTAGTGAAGACTTGATTTTTGAGGTAAGATAACCTGCATGTTTGTTTCTAATGTAGGGCCTAATTTATTTGATTTGTTTAGATTGCATTCTCTGTATTGTATTGTATTGTAAATTGTATTGTACGAGCGCTGTTGCGAGCAGCAGAGCAGTTTGCCTCAGCTTTTCAAAAATGACAATAAACGTTTAACAAACGTTTAAACTAATGTTAACTGCCTGTGTGAATATGTTTAAGTTGTTTTATATCTATGGATTTTATTGTAGCCAAGTAAAGTGTTGATTTGAGAGGCTATAAATGGATCAAACATGTTTAACTCGCTGTCGGGTGCTTGGTCATCATAAAAAAATAAATAAAAAGAAACATTTGTCTTAATTAACTTTATAAAGAAATGAAAATAATCTAAACGGTAACTACTTTGCCATTGAGGACAAAACATATCTGTTTAAATGACTGCTGCAACAGGGCAGGCTGTGTAAGGTGTTTTTTTTTTGTTTTGTTTTTTTAAATAACGGGCTCGGGTCGGACTCGGGCTGATCATTCTGATGAGCTGTCGGACACGGGCCGGGCTAGGGCCTGGACGTCTCGGGCCAGTGCCGGGCTAGGGCCTAGATTTGAGGCCCGTGCAGGGCTCTACAACAAATGCATGCAAACATTATGGACCTGAATTTTGTATAAGTACTAATGTTGTAAATGTATTTTTCAGGTATATATGCTTTATGACGTTATTTTCGATTTGATCAAGAACGTACTGTAAACTAATGCCAACGCTGTTTGAGTATAACATTAGTAGCCTGTCAGTTGCTATTGTTGCCAGTCAGATGCTATTGTGTAAAACAAATGTGTATATGGTTAAAAAATTTTTAGCAAATTATCATTCAGAAACGTTTAGTAAGAGCTGTGTTTGGTGAGGTTCTGCTTGACTCTTTTCATCGCTGCTTTCTCGGTCTGATTCTGCCTCAAACTGATACTGCAGTCTCGACATCATTATTTACGTGTATCCCCCTTTTGGCATGCCCGTTTCGCGAGGCTTACAATAAAGGTGAAATTTATGAAAAATAAGACTTTTTAAAAAAGAAAAAAAAACATGAAAACATGTTATATTACACCCCTTAAACACAATCATGCAAATCAAATAAGCAGTCAACCCCCCCCCCCCCCCAAAAAAAAAGACATTTAAGGGTCATTGCAATAGACTGTGATAACAGTCTATTGCATAATACATGGTGCATAATACTACATAATACATGGTGCATTCTAAATTAAAATCATGTATATCTGCTTGTTACCCATTTATTACGCAAAATGTTACATATTGTTCCCGTATACACCTACACGGAAGTACACTACAGAAACATACATTTCGGTTAACTACACAGTTGTCGTAATCTAAACATCCAACAATTCTACGCTGTGAAATATTGTAGTCATGAGTCAGAAACAGCTCTAGTGGTTTAGTTGCAGATGTTTTTATTGTATTTGGATTAATTCCATGTAAGCGGATATTCTCTCCATGATAATCATCTGAGATTCTTGAAGAGCAAATAGAATCTGTTTGCATATGAACAAAACTAATTGCTCTCTGTACAATGTAAGAAGGTCTATAATACCTAGATAAAGTAAAGGCTACAACAAAAAAAAAAAAAAAAAAAAAAAAAAAAAAAAAAAACATTTTGTATTTTCGTGAGCTTAGAATTATAAGGTTCTATCTCCACTTTTGGTCGAAATTGAGTTTTTGACATAATCTGATCCATTAGGTGTTTTGCCTGTGTGGTGTTATTTTTGTAAAAAAAAAAAAAAGAAAAAAAAAAGATTAATAGATAAAGCTATAATAGAAGATTATCAGGTTAACTGTCACCCCCCCTTTTTTGAATAGACATGAAAATGCACATTTCGAACTTAAATGGCTGTAATTCAAGAATGCTTTGGAATATAGACATATGATTGGTCTTGTTTTAAAGAAGACATTTGGCAGATTTTTGTAGAAGTGAAATAAATTAAGAAAGTGAAACAGAAAAAAAGTTATAGAAGTTTGAGTTTATGGAAATGTACAATGTAAAAATATTAATTATTCATATTTTACATAAAATATATATTTTCAAAACCTGGGCTACTCTAAAATGTCAGAAAGATCAAAGCCAAAAATATGAACAAGTTGTGTTTCAAATTTTAGGTTGATATCTCAAAAAATGAGCTTTCAGTAAGATTTTGTTTAAGCGCAGTACCCAACTTTTTCACTAGGGCACAATCAGACTCCATTACTGCCCATATAAGGGCGCCTGCATTTCCATTCGTGTTTTGAGTGATATGAACCATTATTTTCACAATTTTCATACAATTTCTGAAGTAGAGATCCTATTCAGAAGTAGCATGGGAAGTTTGGCAGATTTTGATATGAATTGAACCACTAAGAAACACATACAAAGAACACGCATGTAAGTCATAGCTAGCTGCCACGTCACAAATGGTGAATTTATTATTTTTTTCTTGATATTTCAAACTTTTCAGACCTTTTTTTTCCAAAATAATTGAATGGATTCTATCTTTTGAACTTTTGGCATGAAAACAAACTGAGGTATCTACCATTTTTTCATGATTTTTCATGTTTACTGCTATTTTAAAATAAAGGTCTGAACACGCCTTATGAGTATGAAAATATTCTTGTTTTATATTGATAAATTATGGCTCCTCTGTAATATATTTTGAAAATCAGTCACCAAATATGGAAACTAGAGATTGTAAGCTTTCAAATGATATATAGTTTGTCAATATTATTTAAGGTATTTACTAAGATATTATTGTTTTAAAAATATAGTGGCAAACGTCCCACCTGTGGGACGGTGACAGTTAATTATACTACATTATAGTTTTGCCAACTGGGATGTAAAAACTTTGATGCACAATATCTCAGAACTACCATAAACGGAGATAGAACCTTATAATTCTAAGCTCACGTTTTAGTTTCATATAGTAATAAATTATAAAAATAACTAAACGTACATTTTATGAAGAAAATGTGAGTGGGCAGATGCTACAGAGTTCTTACAGAGCGATTACAAGAGAGCCTGCCACCATGTATGTACAGTGTTCTGGAGCTGAGATATGGTTTATTCATGTATTTGTACATTGCTAGAGAACTATAAAAATAAATCCAAGAATATAATAAATGAAGAAATAAAATAGGTTCATAAACTGTTTTATTATTTTTTATTTTTTTTAAAAGCCACTATAAAAATAAAATAGTGGTTTCAGGCACCCAAAAATTCTGAGCTATCGGATTCCATGTCTGTCGCTGATTCATTTTGTTCACCTGTTATCAATTAATGCACTCATCATTAGTTCCCTCGTTTAGTATAAGTACCTTCTGTTTTGTTCAGTTCTATGTCCTGTCTCATCTATGTTATGTGGTTGTGTTGTTCATTTTCAGACGGTTCATTTTGAATTCTCCTCCGTCATGCACTTGTTTAGCAGCCACCAGTGACAGAAGACAGGACCTAGTGATATTTTTATGGTGTTTTCCTTTTGTTGTCTCCCTCTCTCTCTCTTCCGTCACAATAGATCTCCCACTTGTCCAGATTTTATGCCTGGAGCAGAAAGAGTTGACATGCCAGTGGAAACCGTTCACTCTGCATGTTTTACATCTCGAACCTTAGCGATGTGTTTAGAGGGTGTTTAGAGTAGAGGTCGACCGATATGTTTTTTTTTTTTTTTTTTTCCACGCCGATGCCAATACCGATCTTTTGAAATCCGGGCCGATTAATGCTGCCGATTTATTTCGGACGATATTTGCTTGGATTTTAACCTCTATTTGAAAGATAAAATGTAAAAGAAGTGATAATTACTTAACAAGGACAAACTTTCTCAACAAAAACATCTTCTCAAAAAATGTCCTGAAACATGTATTTTTGGTTTGGTTTGTTTGTTGACGGACAAAGACAAATGGACATAACCTAATTATCACAAAAAGGAGAAAAAAAAACTGTAAATGATTTAATTTTTTTGTATTTATAAGATGTATTATATTTTATTTACTTTAACTTATAACAATAATGTATTTCACTAGTAAATTACCATTGAACGACAAAAACAACCACCAGATGGGAAAATGATATTTTACAAAAACTTTAAATGCACCACAACGCACCGTCCGTCTGTTGTTCTTCAGACAACGGCATCCCGCTGTTGGACCTTTTAGTCTACAGTGAAATACAGTCACACTTTACACTGTTTGGCCAGCATTTTAACCATGTTTAATCCAGCTACTAACTAACGGTCAGTGTTGTGCCTGAACACGTTCAATGAACGATAGTTCATGAACGCATACATATTTAGGTCTGCTGCTCACTCGGCTGGAAAATGACTCTAGCGGCAGCGTGCGTCAAAAATGTGTTCCACGACAACACTAGGCTGCCCACAGATGCGCCTGCCTAATAATCAGCTTGATATACTTGAATTATGTTAAAAATGCCAAAAACCGGTGTACCGATTTTCATCTAATCGGTCTAAAAATTAGATTAATTGGTCTACTTCTACCTCTGGATTCCAGACCCAGAAACCAGTCAGTCCTCACCCCGACAGATGGAGGATCAGCCAGATCCCCCGTCTCTGCTTCCAGCCACAGAGCCCCAGACTCCACCTTGGTCCTCTGATCCATCAGCTCAGCCTTGGTTAAATGCTCCCTCAGCTCCACCATCGCTCATCATCCACCTAGCTCCACCAGGCTCCATCGTCCACCCATCATGGCCTTGGTCAGACTTCACCTCGGTTCCATCGTGGGATTCCTGACTACCAGTTGTACTTCTGCCCTCCATCCCTTCTGCTCCACCGGGCTACGCCTTCCCTCCAGCTCCAGCCTTGTCCTCGGTCGCGCTGGCTCCACTGCAGTCTTCCGGATCCCCACCTCCATATCGATCCCATGAGCAGCCAGTTTCGCCTTTGCCCCCTGTACCTGTAGTGTCACCTTGGCACCGTGTCCCTTCGGCTCTGTCGCATTAGATGACATCCCTGGTTCTATCATGCAAGCCTGGTTTCCATGTCTGTGACTGCTTCATTCTTCTCACCAGTTGTCTGTTATTTAACTAATTCCTTCCCTAGTTTAGTTCTGGTAAAAATAAGTACTCCCTATTTTGTTTAGCTATGCTATATGGTTGTGTTTTCCCATTTTCAGGCCTGGTTTTAACATAGAGACTATTCATTTTGAATAATTCTGCTTGTCTGTCTTTGCTGTGTTTGTGTTTCAGTGGGGTGGGGCTCCAATCCTGAGGGTGGATGGAGGACACTGTGGTGTAAGTTTTCCTTCTTCCTGCTCACTGTCTTCGAGAGACAAAAAGATGGGTTCTCTCTCCTACGTGCCTATTCCATTATGTTTTTGTTTTGTTTGCTGTTGCCAGCAATTTTGTGATTATTATAGTTTTGTTTGGTAAATAAAGTGATTATCTTTTGATTAAGTTTTTGAGTCTCGCATCCTTTTCCCTAACTCTGAGCCGGGTTGTGACATTGCACATCAATGGATGCAGAGCCGGTTCACTGAAGAGGGAGCATCTGAATTAACGAAATGGGGGGAAGATGTGACACAAATATACCCAGCAAGAAAAACATACAGTATGTGGCCCATTCTACAACTAGGCTATGAAACTAAAAGTTACTGAGCAAATAAAATGGTAGAGCATTAAATAATATCACTACATAAAACAAAAAGGAAAATTGCCTAGGCCAATATATTCAAATATTCAGGCAACCAGATATAAATACATCTCAGATACACAATTGATATCACCACCACCACCAAAAGTAGGCCAATTTATGTCTGCTTTACTATAAAAGAAATGCTCATTGTGACTTCACTAACATTACAAACACTGATCAACTAACTAAAACCCATTATATAGCTCTCTAAACATGAAAAAGTGAAGTTTGCAGGTTATGTGCCATCAAAATTGCATGTCGCGAAACAGACTGTCCTTATCCAAATATTGCAAAAGTAGCCTAATAGAAAGTAGAAATCCCATGCACTTTCATATGCATTTTTTTAAGTAGTCTATTTTAATTCATCATTAAAATCCATTTTCACATTTAGCACTAAATGTCTCCCAATTTACTGTTAATATGCTTTGGTTTGGTGACTGCCTCCCTAATGTCAGCCTTAACCTCAAAGGCTCTGTTATACACAACACATGTCCTCTGACCTTGAAGTGGCCTTTATGCCAGGTCTGAAAGAGGCACTAGGATTCTAGGGGTGTTGAGAGGAATGCGAGACTGAGCACTTCTCATGTTTGATCCGGAACGTGGATGACATTTCTGACAGCAGAGGTTTTACAAATTTCTTTAATCCTGCAAAGGAAACATTCACTGTCACTACCTTGGTGATTTCAAAATATATGGTCAAATTCAAGTAAGGTCCACACAAGTAAGGCTCAATATGTAAGTTTTGTAAATCATGTTCTTTCGTGAGTTAACACTAGAAATACTGGGATTCCATAACTACTAGAACGACAATAGCAGTCATTCTGACCGTTCATACTTTGACGATCATGGCCATACTGAACGTCATTTTCATCATGTCATATCTACATTTGAACCTTTCTCTTTAAGTTTTCCAATTACGCTTTTAATTCCCGTTGTCATTTTATAACGTCATCGGCCTTAAAAAAAGCACAACAGAAAGATTGCCCCGACAGGTGCTGCCTCAAAGTTTTGCGTCAAAAATATTTTTTTCACCACACGCAACATGTGAATAGACATGCAAAAAATGCGAAGTTTTAATACCGTTTAGTACATCCTTGTTTGTAAAGAAGTTCAATAATCAATAGAAAATATAAAAATAAATGTATACACAATGTTACGATACATAATAATAAAGACGTCTATGGGCTCATTTATATGGTGGCCTAGAGAGTTCAACGTGTTGCAACTGGAAAAGCTACACTGTTCAAAAAGCAACTGAGCTACAGCCAAGCTAGTGAAAAATGTAGTTAAGTTAGTAGCGTCGCTACTTGTAGTTAACTACTCCCCAACACTGTGTATATGTAATACATATAACAATGGAGCCTTATCTCATGAAAGTTCGTATCTATAGCACGAATGTCATTTCTCGTGCCATTTATACGCCAAAACTAGTTTTTGCGTGTATATGGTATGTGTTTTTCGCGTGCATATGATACGCACTTTTTGGCCCACCCCCCTTCCCCCTAAACCTACCCAGGGGGTTTTCAGTGCGTAGCACATGCACGCAAAAAAACATTTTTGTCGTATAAATGCCACAAGAAATGACAATCGTGGTATTGATAGCACTTTCATGAGACTGTGTTGAACAATGACACTAACACTAACTTAACCCCAACCCCAAGTACATGTAGGCAGTTAAAATTATATATTTTTGTGTATGATCTGAGTTTGCCCCAGTGAAGTTTATTTGTATGTTTAGGGGTGGACATTTATGCTTTCTTTTTGTCTAATAATCGCATGTTTTTGTATGATTCACATCATGTGAATCCATGAAATTATCACCTCGTAACATAGTTAAACTTTCCAGTGAGATCAGGTTAAATGATACAATACTTTCAAATATGTAATAATGTTGCAGCTGTGCCAGAAAGCAAGGTCGCCATGCATCTATTTTTTTGTGAGGGGCACACAGACAGACATACAGAGACATGCATACAGTAAACACCCAGAGAAGCATTCTAACATCTTTCTACCAGCCACCAAAATGCATCCCTTACTGTTTCAAGGTTAGCAGACATCTGATCTCTAATGCTTTATTTGAGTAGGTGGGTAACGTTAAAAGCTATTTAAACCACTGTCTATTGGCTACACTTTATTGACTGTAAGTATAAAATATTATACATCAGAAATGTAATATAAAATATATAAATGCCTGTGAGTGAATATGAGTGTAAAGAGATTATTTGGTTTGATAATGCAATATGCAATCCTTTATATAATGTTGTGGCTATTCCTATTTCCATGCTGCATCTTTTTTTTTTTTTTTTTTTTTGAGATTGATGGATGTCACATATCCTCCTTCAGTTTGAAAGAGCATGACACTCTCGTCATAAAGCTCATTTGTGTGTGTGCTTTTTGAAAATATGACAAAAAAAAATAAAAAAATCCTGTGATAATTTTGAGCCATGGCGCAGTGGGTAGTGCATGTGCTAATGACACATAAAAAGCCACTGTTGTCACAGATATGCAATTTGGCCTACATAACATCCTTATCCCATTCCTCATCCTCTTTCATGTCTCTCTCAGCTGTCTTATAAATTAAAAGGGAAAACCCCTAAATAAAATAAAAACAGTCTAGAGGGGCTTGGGGTTGCTTCAGCCCCAGGGTGTTGTACTTACCCATAGATATGTATTATAAAACCATTCAATATAAAATTCCCAAAAATCAAACAAACAAAAAACATTAGGAAATGTTCAAAAAAATATTTGTTTCCATACTCGTGTATACTGTTCATTGCACTGGTGTTGGTAGTTCTGAGCTGTGCTTGCTGTGCTTTTCCCTCTTTGCATTCTAGCAGTGGCTGGCACATTGCTGGTGGTCCACATTCCCTGTATGTGTGACTCCCTAAGTCATCTGAGAGCTTCAGTGAGGTTGTACTGGAAATCTATCATGTGGACGGTAAAAAGGAAGTGAGCCAGGACAGATCCCTTGGGTAACTAGTGCTGTTTGGCATCATCTCCAGCATGGAGACTTCATAAATATAGCCTGTCAGTATGGTAGTCCATGTTCCTGGAGACTATGTGACAAACATTTGCACTATCCAGAGCTTGCAAAATAAAATGAATGTGATCAAGAATCATTGAAAGAAAACATTTATGTTACTTTTCCACACACACACACACACACAAAATATTCAACATTCTATAGATCAAATGACCAAAGTTTCACAATCATGTTCACATGCTTTGAAGAATTACAGTGCCTTAAGTCCAGCTCTGGATGTACTGTAGATTTGTAGATAAAAGTTTGAGTGAAATATGTGCAAATATATATGACTCTAACATGACCTATGTTCATTTTATATATTGCTTTACTCATATTGAATGTCAAACCTGTGCTTTTATGTTTTTGTGATGTGACTGAAACATTTTTCAAATTGTTTTTTCATGATTACTTGAAGCCTGTTATCTCAGCAAATGTCCAACATGGAGTCAAAACAGCAATTCCAATTGCAGAGTAATATTCTGCAGTGACAAATCAAATCTCATAACATGACCATTAATCCTCATCTGCTGGACATGGAATGGGTGCATATTGTTTTGTGCTGTGAAATGTAAACAATCATCTGGCTTCATTCAGAGACATGGGTTTGTGAGATCCTTTTAGCTCAACCAGTAGAACATGACCATCTGTGAAGAGTAATCAAGGGAAATTGTGAACTGGCTAACCACTACGCAGGATTTATACTTATGAAATTAGCTTTAGATTTACCATGAAATATCTGTTCATTAAAAATGCATTAAATGTGAACAGGATCAGTTGATGCTAAATGGAATAGCCCAAAAGTCATTAATTCGAGCATTCCCTCTTTCTCTCTTAGACAGCCGTCAGACTGTTGTAGACCCAATATATTGAGTCAGACTGTTGTAGACCCAAACAAAACACACAAACAAACAAATTATGTATCACATATAGCAATATGTATGTATTACATGTATATATGTATGTATTACATATAGCAATAACTATAAACATGTATATATATATATATATATATATATATATATATATATATACAGTATACAGTAACATACATATATATATATATATATATATATATATATATATATATATATATAAACTGGCTTGTCAATCATATTTTCACAGTTTCCATTTACCATTTATATTTTTGCATAATAATGCATTTAAAAGTTAATGCCCAAACAAATCTTTATATAAGTTCATATTGTTGTTGCAGATTATATATTATATGGATAACATTAAATAAATATTTTTCTCAAAGGTTAAATGTTGGTTATCAAAATCTAAACCTCTCTACTCATGCTACATTCACATCATGTCATAAGTTCTGTCATTTCAAGATGACAACACGTGACGTTCTACTTGGAGATGTTCACGTCCTTGTTGAAATCTTACCATTATTTCAACATTAATTGCAGGTGCAAAAGTGGTATTGAATCAAAATCACTTCATAGCATTGATTAAATGACATTATTATGGATAATTTTTTGTTGAAATCACACTGTTGTTAAAACTATAATTGTGGGTGAAAAAAAATATACTGACTCAACATCACGTTATAACGTCGTTGATTCAACGAAATTACCATTGTTTTTGTTGTTGAAAACTCACAATTGTTCCAACAGTAATTCTGTGTGCAAACATGATTTTGAACCAACTTCACTGTAATGTTAATTCTATAAAATTAGCGTTGATACATCAACATTGATTCGACATTGTTTCAATAATTGCTTGAT